AGAGAGAGAGAGAGAGAGAGAGAGAGAGAGAGAGAGAGAGAGAGGGGAAGGAGAGAGAGAGAGACTGGAGAGAGACTGCACTGGATTTCTCCAAGGCTGGGGTCCCATGGTAGCGAATGTCCTCCCAGGAACAATGGACAGGCAGGTTTCCCTAGGAAGGGAAATGAAAGGGGATGAAGTCCATCTAGCACAACACTGTGGGTCATGGAAAAACAGCTGGAATTTTTAGTGAGCATTTACAGAAAGCAAGAAAAAAATCTGTTATTAAAGTCACAGTTATCATTTTAACATTTAAGGCAGCTCCCACACATGATTCCAAAGTATACCATCTATAAGGCTGAAATAATCAGAATATTTTTGCATTGTTAATGATTTTGAATTACTTTATTAAAAAGTATGTATAGCAATAATTTTACACATAAAATACTCGACATCTTATCCTTAACTCTGACAGGGAAAGCTGACTGCACCAGGGGAGCCACTAGACAAAAGGAGATTGAGTCTCTGAGTGACCACGAAACACGGGACACCCCACTCTAGTTCACATGGACAGTGCTGGAAATGGAAAATTTAAGCTTATGTTATAAGACAGCTAAGAGCTGGAGTTACTTTGCTAAAGCAACTGTGATTGCTTACTCAGGCCTCAACATGGCACTCCCCAGCTCTGCACAGGATAGAATCTACCCAGTCTGAAAGTCTGGGTTTCTATGCAACAGTATGGAAAAGGGGTCTTATTGACTTGTTTACAGTATAGTGCTGTTATGTAAGCAAGAACTGAGTTTCTGTTACAGTTATATAACAATACATTTTGGGTTCACTGTTGAAACTGTTAGCCTATCTTCAATAGCATCTGGCTAGTGAGAATCTATCATATACCGTCTTTTGTATTTATCAAACACTATCTTTTATTTTATGTCTGTCCTAGGATTAACAAAGGAATGAAAAAGATGCATTTTAAGTCTCACAAGGGATGTTAAAAAAAAGTTTAAAATGAATTTTCAAAAATTTATATATAAACATTTAATTAATGAAGTTTTTCACCAATGCTCTCAAATTCTGTTTATAAAAAAGCTTGAAGGATTGTCTACAGGATAAAAAATCAGTGTAAGTGATAGAAATTGTCATATTCACTGATATGTTATAGTTTCCTGTTTTACTAACTTTTCCTAATTTAACATTTCATAAAATGTATAGATTCTTATTTTCAGTGGATGACAGTTCCATTTACATAAACTTATTGCTAAATAGATTATAAAATCTTATAAAAAGTAATTTTAAAATTCACAAAATAGTTAACAGAAAGGACCCAAATGAAAAACATAACACAATTTAGTGAAATATGCACAGGGAATTAGGGAATAAAGCAGAATATCAATGTTTCACAAATCAGTGTAAAAGACTATTCTCTTCAATCATCTCTCATGATGCCTTTTATAAGTTATCTTCTTGATTTTGTAAGTCATCTTCTTAAATTTCTTCCTCCAAATATAAGTCTTTCATCATAGATAGTGTTCTAAATACTGAAAATATTTGTAGTTGGGAATAAATGCAAATGACAAAGATTACCTTAGAATCTATCTTTTAAATTGTGGAGCAGAGAAACAAATATACAGAAACACACCAGAGTACGGAAAAAAAGCATATGCTTCAATTTTCAATTCAAAATATAGTTTTCAAAGTTAGGCTTTTTGTATTGTGCAGTGCAGAAAAAATATTGAAGTTATGAATGTTGGCTATTTTTCAGGGTCTGAAAATTAATGTTTATGTGAAACAAGTACATCATAATAATGAATTACGTTATAGAACTGGAACATAACCTCAAACTTTAATGGTTTGTTGATATGTGGAAAATGTGAAACTAATAAAAACAACATTTTCTTTTATTTAATGAGTAATTCAATTGTTCTTTAAACATTGCTTAAGCATTTTGACTGACTATTATTTCCTTCATAGTATTTTCCTCTTTGAAAAACTTATGGCTTCATTTTTAGATCTTCCATGTTTTTTTCTACATGCTTTAAAAATCCATTATTACTTATTAGCAATATAAATAGTTTTGTGCTTTTCCATTACACCAATGTCATGTTCTAGCTGTTTCATTTCTTTTTCCAGCTTCTGTTTGCGAATCTTCTTCGGTATGGAGTCTATGAAGACTGAGAGGGACTGGAACTCTTTGTGCACCTCTTCCCAGTTCTTTTTCAGCCCCTGCAAATGATACACAGAACTGAAGACTGAAGCAAATTGCAAAAGTAAGTAAATGGTAAAGAAACTATACTGATAACAAAAATTGTAAACAGGTAAAAGATACTGATGAAAATAACTTTTAAAATGATACATGTTTACCAAGGACTTGGCCACAGTAATGAAAAATCTTGTACAGAGGCCAAATTCTGTCCTTGATTGTCTGCTCAATCCCCACTGGGAGTATTTATTTGTGCTGTTTTTAATGTTACTGTACTTGTTTTTAATATCAAATACCCATATGCAAGGTTATGAGTGCTATGGTACTAAGCTAACAGTAAACGTTTTGGTAAAAACCAACAACCGAGAATTGATACTTCCAAGTGAAGGACATTTTTGAACAGGAAATTATTTCTTATGAAATTTTTACTTTTTCTATTCATAATTTTTTCCTTTTTTATCCTCTTTTTATTTCTCTTCAATGGAGAAATCAGACCAAAAGGCTTGATTCTGACTTGCATGGCCATATTTTCTTATATTTGACAAAATGGGATTGTAAAAATGCCAAAAATCAATTTTGCAAAAGATGATCATTTATATATCTTTTCAATATATTAGAAAGAACAAATCGTCCTCCTCATAGCCAAGGGATCTATACTTCCCATTAATGTATTCTAGAAATGATTGGAATGTCATTAAATGTATCCCATATGCTAATTCAATAACGTAGTTAATGTTTTATCGTCTCAGAAATCAACAAATTCAAAATTAGGGGTCTCTTAGGAGTGATAAAGGTTATTTCCATCTCTGCCTGGTTATCATTTCTTATCACAGTGCACTAGGGGGCTCCACTGACAAAATGATCTTAAACTTCTGAGTTCAATTCAATGAATTAACTCTTAATCATTCATTATGGGCACAGATCGTTTTATTGACATGAGAGAAAAACCCTAAAACAGACAGTGTTATTTAAAATATTGCCTGGAAAACATGATCCTTGAAAGAAAATGGCCATATCTTTAGGTTTAAAAGAGGATTAGAGGTATCATATAATAAAGCTTCATAATAAGCCTTCATAGTACAAATTCAAACGTGTGGAAAGTTTTCTGGGATGATAAAAGTTCAATGATATAGTCCCCTGCTTAGGTAAAAATGGTGACAGGATAGGGTACACTGTATGGAATAGATTTGTTGGGGAAAAGCACAACAATAATCTTTTGCCCCTAAGTGAGATTATATTACAGACATGGGCAAAGGAAAGAGAGAGGAAAATACCCAGGTTAAATTCTAAAAAGAGGGAAATAGGTTGACACAGTTCTCAATAGGGCATAAGATATATTCCAAAAAGAAGTCTTCAAAAGAACTCTATTTCTTCATGGTCTTTCATTATGAAATGTGAAATAAGTTCCCACAGTGCTCCACAGGGGTGCCTATTGCAGAGAGAAATCTATATATGTATGCACTTTCAAATATCAAAGGTTTTTCACAGCCAGTTGGTGATATTTCCATATTACTTGTGGTCACAGCAGCTATACTTTTTCTCTGGATTTTCTTTTAGAGGACAGTTTGCTTTTATCTTCTAATGTATACAACAGTGTTTGGATCAAAGTCAACATATAGAGATGGAAACTAAATAGAACTAACATGTCATATTATATTGCAGTAGCCTCCTTGCTGCTTTTAAGATGCCTCCACTTTTTGTTGTTATTTTATCTTAAAAAAAGTCTTTTATCCATTGCAACAATAGTGCCCCCTCCACTCCCCTTGGGGATCAAACCCAGGGCCCACTGCATGCTGGGCAAGCGCTCTACACTGAGCCACAGTTCCAGCCTTTTCAATTATTTTCCATTATTTTTACTTCTTAATTTTTCCCTTTTCTGTTTTAAAGCTAAAATAACATTGTTAATTTTGAAAAAAAAAATAGGACAATTGAGTACCTACCGTTTCATGTTTTGTATTCACCATACCCTCAAACATTCTCCATCTTCTTGCCTGCTCACTGACAAGGGGTGGAGGGCAGGAGTTAATTCCTATGGGCTGTCCCCTGGTTCTTGTGCCCCTTGGCTTTTGACTGAGTTCAGCCAAAGCAAGCACTGGTGGAAAAGGAGAGAGGCTGGGTATTCTTCCCCATCTTCCTCAGCACTGCCTGGATGTTAATTCTAGCTGCACTGTGACTGTGATGGGCGGCCCCTCTTCAGGCTCCAGATTTTACTAGGCCCTGATAACCCTATTACCTGTCCCTGCCCTTCAAGCCCAGGTGGTGGTAGACTCCCTTTGTTCTTAGTCGTGGGCATCCTCAGTGTCTCTTGTTGGCTTCTTTAATCCTATTTCACTTCTGTAAGAAGTTCCTTCTTAAATTCTCTTGAACTCTAGCTGAACATGCTTTCTATTTCCTGCTGGAGCCCTGACTGATAAAGCTACCCTTGGGTACCTCCTATACCTCTCATGGAATTTGCCATCTGAGGTGAGAGAAAGACACCAAATGCAGTCAGCCCACAATAATGAGGGTTCTGCATCCATGAGTTAATAGGAAAGATAAAATAATTGGTTTAGGTATAGTTTCAATTATTCTAGAGCTCCATCTAGTGAAAAATATCGAATTTATGGACATTTTTTAAATATAAATTCAGGGACATAAGAATGAAAATAAAAATACTTTTTACCTTATTTATACATGTTTCTTGTATTAGAAGGTAGGCTTCCTTACAACGCAAGCTCACCAAGTTGGCAACAAAATATTATTCCATGGGTACCTACATTAAAACTTTTTGCTCTGCTAGAGAGTCAGCTTTGCTGCAAGGAGTTTGTCACTGCAACCAAAAGAGATTGTTCTGACATGAAAGTCAAAGTCAAAATTAAGTTGAGGGCAGACTGGAAGGCCTTTCAGAGATGTTCCAAAGAGTGACACACCAGTATAAATCACAGAACACTGACCTGGAGAACGGCTTCCCTCTCTTCATCAGAGAGCCTTTTCATAGCTGCTTTCTTAAGGTTTTCCTGGATATAATTGTCATATTCTTCTTGGGCTTTTTTTACTTCCTCATTCCGTTTACATATGTATTCAGGTGTGATCCCATAATCCTGTAAGGATTTTTCAAGAAAAAAATTACTAAAATTCTGAATGTGATCTTACATATGTTTATAAAGCAACCAATGACTAGAGAAATAAAGAAAGTTTACAGACTTTGCTCCACATGACAAAATTCAGTGACTTCCCATAGAGAACTAGTTGATTCTAGTCTTTCAAAACTGAGTTTTATTTGTTTTCTCTCTTTTGAATGTTCCCAGTGCCTGTTCTCATGACTCCATTCTTTACCCCTAAGAGTTGGCTTTTCTTTTCTATGTTATGTGCTTTAGCTTTTACCTTGAAATCTCTTGAGTACCTTTGAGGTCTCTTTTTCGTGATCCTGTTAAATAAAAGAAGATTAATGTGCCCAAGACATTAGAAAAGCAAAGTCCTTGAATCATATGAAGCCTCTCAAAGAGAAAATTGACTGAAGTTGTTTTTGGAAAGGCAAAATACATTTTTAGGCTCCTGGGCTATTTAGAAGGATTGATAGTGAAGACATCAGCTGTGATTCTTTCAGATTAGTGCATGCATTGATTTCATTGTCTATAGAAACAGAACTATTCCATATTCATTCTTCAAAAAGTATTTGAGAAATGTACTTGGTGAAAGGTATAATAGTGAATAAGAAAGGCAAAGTTTCTGCTCTCATGGCATTTGCACTGTGGTGAAAGAGATTCACCAAAAACAGACTGTTGTTAGTCCTTCATAACTGAAGGTTCTGCATCCATGGATTCAACCAACCATGGATGGAAAATAGTTTTGAAAAAGCGTGTACAGACTCTTTTCATGTCATTCCCCAAACAATACAGTGTAACAACTATTTATATAGCATTTACATCTGTTTTGTATTTATAAGTAATTGAGAGATGATTTAAAGCACAGAAGGACATACATAGTTTGTATGCAAACAGTAACTGTTTATGTAAGCAGCTTGAGAACCTGCAGATTTTGGTATCCACAGGGTCTCTGGTGGATATCCCCTGTGGATACCAAGAAAGGACTGTATGAAATAAAATAAAGTAAAATAAAGGCTAAAAAGGGTAAAGAAAATAACAGAGGTCATTTTAGATAAATAAGGTTGTCAGGGGAGACCGTCTGCGGGAGCAGCAACTGAGAAGTATGGTAGTCACTGAAGTTATTCACAGTGTTCTGGTTCTTTTCCTCCTGGGCATTTGGAGAACAACACTGACCTGCTCCCCTTGAAGTAAAATGTAGCTAGGTAACCTGACTTGTCCAATGTGTGTAGAGGTATCAGTGGATAATCTCATTCTTCTTCTGTTGGGCCTAGAGGCAAGCAATGTTTTGAGTTTTCTGCATCCAAGAAGGACAAGAAGCAGAGCCTCTAATAATCCTCTGTGAGCAAAATAATAAAACTTTATTTATTAACAAATAATAAAACTTTGTTGCTTTGATTTACTGGAATTTTGGGGTTGTCACTTCAGTGTCACCTAACCCATCCCGACTAAAAAAGGGATAGAAATCTTATATCTAAGTGTGTTCTGGAAAGTACACTGCCCTATACAGATAAACTCTAAAGGCACAGTGTTTCGGTCAGTTAGTGCAGTGATAAACAGATCAATACACTTCAGGAAATATTGAGGGCAACAGCTCATTATAGCTCAGCACAACTGATATTCATAATGATGATAATTCTGTAGCTTTACACACAAGACTAAATTATAGTTGGCAGACTCTGTTTAAGAAAAGGAATAGTGAGATATATTTTAGGAAAAAATAATCTCATAAGTGGGCAAAAGCTTCAGGGATCTGAAATATTTTTAGGTGCTGAATCACTGAAGGTAAGTGTGTACTATTAATATTAAATTGCATATAATATTCATTCTTTGTTGTACTTTTATAGGTGCCTAGGTATTGTGTTAAGTTCCTTATATCATTTAATCCTCAGAACAACTCAATGACTTATTAGAAATCACAGGAGTAGAAAGTGGCAGAATTAGGATTTGAAATGATGTCTCACTACTATTGCTATAGACCTCATGTAATCATCCATCCTTCAATTTGTTTTCACAAAATGTTTTTCAAAATACAAATGACACCTAATTTACTAGAAACTAAAACATGAGGATTACTCAGTTAAAAAATGCTTTGCCTTTAAAAACATTTATTTTCTAATTTATTAATAATAGATTTTTAAAATTTAACCCTGAGAAATTAAGTGGAATAAATTTCTCATCATTGTTTAATCAGTGACACCAAGAGGACAGTAGGTGCTAGTCTTGTCATGGTTCGGTAAACAAGCACAGGTAGATTAACCTGGTGTTTTTCTGTTTCCATGATGGATTCTCCAAAATTTTTGTTCAATACAGAATATATATTGAAGTGGGAAACTGAGGCAGAGAGCATCCAAGATGAGGGGCAAAGTGTGTGGCAGTTGGTGGCATAACAATCAAAGAAGAAGAGTTTCTATGTGATAGGGCAGAAATTATGGATTGGAGTGACTTTAAGAAGCCTGGGGGTGGGGGGTCTGGGTTTGTGGCTCAGTGGTCAAGCGCTTGCCTAGCATGTGTGAGGCCCTGGATTGGATTCTCAGCCCTGCATATAAATAAATAAAATAAAGGTCCATTGACATCAACAAAAATAAATAAAGAAAGAAAAAAGCCAGAAGAGAAAATTTTTACTTTTTCCCAACCATGAGACAAGGACTATGAGCACCTTCTTGGGGCCAAGAAGGAGGAAGTATCACAAAGAGCCTTAAGAAACTGTGTCAGCATGTGCAATCAACTCCTAGATTCCTGCTACAACTTTTCCAGAGGTGATCTTGGTCTACTGAGTAAGAAGAGTTGCACAGAAAATAAGTTGTGCTCTCTGAGAATAGCCTGAAGTTTCTGTTCTGATTTGCCACGACACTGGATTTACCAGGGAAGCTCACTGCACTACAGTCACCACTGGAAATTTTCCTTTTTCCTTCCTTCCTCCCTCCCTCCTGTTTTATTCCCTTCCCCACTTCTCCCCTTCACTTCTTTGGTCCCTTCCTTTCCTCTCCCATTTCTTTTTTTTTTTTTAATATCTTTAGTTGTAAATGGCCACAACACTTTTATTTTATTAATTAATTAATTTTTTATATATATATTTTTTAGTTTTTAGGTGGACACATATTTTTATTTTATTTTTGTGTGGTGCTGAGAATCGAACCCAGTGCCTCACGCATGCTAGGCGAGCGCGCTACCACTTGAGCCACATCCCCAGACTCCTCTCCCATTTCATGCCACAACTTATTATTATTTTTCTTTAGGGTTTTGTACTCATTTAACATGTGTTTCAAGCACTTTTATCCTCTATAAGTATATTCATATACAAAATACAACAGGATTTGTATGCTTTTCTTTGTAAGCTTTTTAAAGATATTCTATATCTACACCAGTAAACCCAAGCTTCTCTAAAATCCATCAATGAAATTATATGCCTAGCTTATAAACACGTTTTCAGATAGAAATGAAGGACCTGAAAGAACTAGATTATTTGACAGTGCTTTCAAGGCTTTGCATCAAATTAGAAACAGATAAATATATAGTAACTGTGCTTTTAGTGACATTTTCACCTCACCCCAAATTAAAATATTTCAGAAAACAATTTTTATAATTATGAGATATATTAATAACTGAAATTAAGGAAAATAATTGTAAATTTCATCTACTGAACTCTGTGGGATTGTTCATTACAATTTCTCTGTTATCATCACATTAGATTTGGACCAAACACAGATTGCTAGGGAATGGGAACTGGCAATCTAGATAATTTGTCCAGTGAAAGCACTATTAATGATAACATAGACAGTTGTTAGGAATACCACATTTGAGTTATTTAAATCTCAGTTCTCACTTTAAACATGACAAGCCTACCTTTTTATTGATGTACTTTGGAATTAGTCCTGAAGTTTCAAGATCATGCTTGTCCCCAGTTCTTTTGTCAACATAAATTGGCTTAGGCTTTTTAGCCACTCCCATGATGACATCGGCTGCATTTGTATTTATAAAATTTTTTCCACTCTGTATTCCCATAACTGGATGATCAGTCCTCAGTGGCACAGCAGGCTTCCTGGGCTGATTCCAATCAAATTTTGTTTCTGTTAAATATAGCATTTCCTTATTAATATTAAGTATCAACATTGCTACTCAATACTATTTATAATATCCAGATATTGGGATTCTATTAATAATAAATTTAAATACCTATAGTAAAAAGTTCTTACTATCCCCATACTTATTGAGTTGGGTACATTAATTATGTAGGGCTTTTTATATGTCAATCATACCTCAATAAAATAGTTAAAAATATAAGGAATCAAAATACAAAAATATTAAGTGCAACATAATCGAATAATATGTTGAAAAAGAGTATAAAAATCTTAGGGAGAAGGATAAGCATCCTAAATTATATGCTAGCTCACTAATACACTTTTACTGTCTATTATGAGATATATTTTTATAAAGACTACAATAATAAATGGTCAGCTCTGTTTAAAATACTTATATAAGAACACTAAAAACTTCTGAGGACTATCAATATTACCAGTAATTGTTTCTTCAGAGGAAAATTACTGTAAAATCATCAAATAAATAAATTGAGCTTGATATATTGAAAGCCTAAGAATCTATGGATTTTTTTCACTGAAATTATTTATTATTATTATTATTATTATTATTATTATTATTATTATGTATAAAAATCTTGGAATAGCCATATAGTCAAAACACAGCTTAACAAATAAAATATCACCAATGTAGTTGAAATTTCATATCCATTCTTACCTGACTGCCTCTCATTTCCTAAAGTAACTACTTTCCAGAATGTATTTTATTTCTCTCTACAACATGCTGTTCATTAAACACAGATGAAATTCATTATTTTTACACAATCTCTTCAGCTCAGCTATTCCAACCAATCTTTTTTTTGTCCTGGGGATCAAACCTAGGGCCTTGTGCCTGCAAGACAAGCACTCCACCAACTGAGCTATATCCCCAGCCCACAACCAATCTATTTTGATATAGTCATAACAACATGGTTTGCCAAAATGTAAATAATCATAATTTATTTCCAAGAACTGAACGCAACAACTATCTTTGCAAGGTATTACTTCAATCTTAAGTTCATCACAATTTCTAGGGACTTTGACTTTATGCATTTCTACATTGTTTGTTTATGGGTTTAAATAACTTCTATTATCAGAAAAACAATACTTATTGTTAAAAGTCATGGACTGGGTTTAGACCGAGGAGAGGGATAGCTGGTCAAATGGTGGTTCCATTCCCAATTTTCCAAGAAATCTCCATACTCCTTTCCATAACACAGCCACATCAATGTTAATAGCAGCACAATTCACAACAGCTAAACTGTGGAACCAACCTAGATGCCCTTCAATAGATGAATGGATTAAAAAATGTGGCATATATACAAAATGGAATATTACTCAGCAATAAAAGAGAAAAAAATCATGGCATTTGCAGGTAAATGGATGGAGTTAGAGAAGATAATGCTAAGTGAAGTTATCCAATCCCAAAAAACCAAATGCTGAATGTTTTCTTTGATATAAGGAGGCTGATTCATAGTGGAATAGAGAGCAGGAGCATGGGAGGAATAGATGAACTCTAGATAGGGCAGAGGGGTAGGAGGGGAAGGGAGGGGGCATGGGGTTATTAATGATGGTGGAATGTGATGATCATTATTATCCAAAGTACAGGTATGAAGACATGAATCGGTGTGAATATACTATGTATACAACCAGAGATATGAAAAACTGTGCTCTATATGTGTAATAAGAATTGTAATGCATTCTGCTGTCAAATATAAATAAATAAATAAGTCATGGACTGGATTAATCTTGTTAGGAGCCAAATTGAATTCTTAATCCCCAGCACCTCAATGTGTGTGTCTTTGGGATTAAGGTCCTAGAAGAGTTAAATTAAAATGAAGGACTACAGTGGCCCTTAATCTGAGTGGAGTCCTTATAAAAAGAAATTTGGACAGACATACATAGAGGGAAGACCATGTAAAGACACAGAAAAGAAAACCATCTATCTATAAGCCAAGGAGAAATGCCTTAGAAGAAACCAATCCTGTTGACATCCCAATGATGGACTTTTCTTACTTCCAGAACTGCTGTCTCTCACTGGACAGTTTTGGACAGTTTTAAAGCTCCTACAACACCCTGATTATGAGTGTGTATGCATGGCGCTTGGGAATGAACCCAGGGCCTCACACATGCTGAATATGGACACTATCATGAGTTACATCTTCAGCTTTAACCCTGAATTTCTTAGTTATTCTTCAGGCTAGTTAAAATTTGCATTTGCTTTTGCCTTACAATATTTATGAGAGAAGAGATGGATTTCAGGAAGAAGCTTTATTTTGTCTATAAGAAGACTTATTTTTTCATTTATTTGATACATAGGATTCATGTAGTTTGGTAGTTGTATTATGTAATATGCTTAGCCCTAGGGAGGATACATGAGGACCCAAGGGATATTGCCGGTCTCAAGGCATTGAAAATATTGAGTTCTATTTTAAGATTTTCCAGTATTCTCAAAAGGTGTTGTTGGTCACAAAATACCAAGACTCCACTAGAAGAAAATAGAAAAGAGACTTTGGAAGTCATGAATTAAGCATGAAGTTTTTATTTTCAATTTGCTTTTTCCATATTTCCTGATCATTACCTTACCCTTTGTCATAGGGTATGGTTTATTTAAGAGGATTATAGGACATAAAACACTGCCACAGTGTGATGTACTTTCACTTGTGCCAAAATGTACACCCCAAGTTGGGCTTGAGCTGTTGCACTATTTCCTCAATGCCAGCAGACATAAAAAGGCCAACATTTTAAAGAGAAAGACTCATTTGGCTCTTTTCTTTCCTGCCCTAAGACATCAAGCAAGACATACCTAGGATGGGAAGAAGGGATTTCATGGAGACTTTGACACATATCCACTTCCCTACACTCTCATGTTCCTAATAGCCTTCTTTCCTGATATCAATATACTCTATGAATTGACTCAACTACATAATTTTTGAGGTCCACTATAAAACGAAAACATAGGGCTACACAATGAAAAACTATTAAGAGTTTCAATATTGCTAGAGCAGAGCATTAAATCAAATGTGGGACCTTTCTAAATGCAGGTGCTATGCAACTGCATGGGTAGCACATTCATGAAGCTGGCACTCATTCATGAAGCCTTTTCCACACTTCATGGGTGTGCTTTGTGGTCATAGATTCTGAGAAAGTGAAAGCCTATACTCAAAAGTGAGCCTGGTATTGCTTTAACAACTAGTAGTAACTGCAATTTTCATCTCTTCAAAAAAAGATCAGAGAAAGAGCTTGGGGTGTAGCTTGGTGGTAGAGCACTTGCCTAGTATATGCAAAGACCTGAGTTGGATTTCCACACCAAGAAAAAAAATTTCAACAAAGTTTAAATGCTTGAGAGATCTTGCTCATTAATCAGAAACTATCTGGGGTTTTGGACTTCTGAAAATAATTGTTGTTTTTAATTGAAGCCACATAAGTAGGAATTGAAATGAGGAAGCACTTGATGCTAGGAGTGCGGCTTTACTGGACAAACCAAGATGTAGTTCAAGATGCTTGCCCCATCAGCAGTCCATTTTGGGGGCAACTTATCCCTTCCCACTCTCTTTTTCTACTATATTCTCTACTTCTACTTTCCTCTAGCCACCCAAGTTGGGCTTAATATCAGGCAAAGTTGCTATTACCTATTCATATTTAATATTTATTGACAATAAAATAATTTTAGTTAAATTATCTAATATTGTGTTAATTTTTTTAGTTGTAGATGGACACAATACCTTTATTTTATTTATTTATTTTTATGTGGTGCTGAGGATCAAACCCAGTGCCTTACCTATGCAAAGCAAGTGCTCTACCCACTGAGCTATGACCCCAGCCCTAAATTAGCTAATATTTTCAATATTAAAAAGAAAGAGTGATAAAACCTACTGGGTGGTAGAGTTTTTTCCTTCGAATGTTTCTTTAGGAAATCCTTTGGAGAAGGTACTTCAACTTTAGCTGGTCCCATAGTTTTCATTGCAGTTTTAATTTTTTTCATGTCATTTTTTATAGTTGTCTTAAAAATTGATTTGTACCTGAAATTAAAATTATAAAGTCATAAAGTCATAGTGTTTATTTTTCTAGCAATAATATTTCAAGTTTAAAAATAGGCACACATTTTTAATTTACACATGACTATATTCATATGGAGAACAATAGCAATAAAGCAACTTGATATGAACCCTGAGAATGAGGCTTGTGAAATCTAGATGGAAGCCCTGGCCTAAGAAATAGGTTCCAGGACAAAGGTATTGTATTTTCTTATTGTCTTCTGAACATCAGTACCATAGGCTGTGATGACCCCTCTGTCATTCCTGATATTAGTAATTTGTGTCTCCTCCCTTCTTCCCTCCCTTTCTTTCTCCCCAATCCTTATTAATCTTGCTAGGAATTTATTAAGTTTATTGCTCTCAAAGAACCAGAATTTTATTGATTTTCACTGATGGTGATATGTTCTCCATTTTAATGATTACTGCACTGATCATTATTATTTCTTTTCTTTAGGTTAAATTTTCTTTCTTTTTTTCTGTAGTTTCTTAAGGTACAAGTTTAAGTATTAGATTTTAAACCTTTATGCTTTATCTAATATAAGTTGTTAAAGCTATAAAATTCCCTCAGCACTGCTTTAGCAACATTCATACATTTTAATTCATTATGCTTAATTGTATGTAACCCAAAATACCTTTTAAATTACATTTTTATATCTTTCAGAAGTTTGTTTAGATATGTTTGTTCAGTTTTCATTATATTTGGGCTTCCCAGGTATGATTTCTAATTTATTTCCTTGATATCTGGAGAATATCCTTTATATAACTTCAATCCTTTCAAAATTTGTGATACTCACTTGATGACACAAAATATGGTCCAGTCTGGCAAGTGTTCTGTATATACTTGAAAAATGTGTATTATGCTAATCTTGGATAAAGTGTTTTTTAAATGACAATTAGATCAAACTGGTTGAGGATGATTTCAGGTGAGCTTCCTGTTTTCTTGTACTTACTGATTTTGTACCTTTTCTATTTCTGAAAGAGAGATGTTGACATCTCTGACTATAATTATGGATTTGGTTATCTCTTTTAACTCAAACAGCTTTTGCTTCATATATTTTGAGGCACTGTTAGTGTTGCTTTATCATCTTTAAAAACTGACCACCACTTCATCATTATACAATACACTCTTCATTCCTTTAAAATTCTGTACTCTAAAATCTACTGTCTGATACTATTATAGACATTCCAGCATTCCTTTATGATATGGTATATATTTTTTCCATCCATAGAGTTTTTACTTGTCAGTGTCTTAATTTTTAAGAGACATTTCCTAAAAATATAGAATTTTCAACATCATTCTAAATGGAGAAAAATTAAAAACGCTCCCTCTAAAAACTGGAAAAAGACATAGATGCCCTCTTTCACCACTTCTGTTCAACACAGTCCTTGAAACTCTAGCTAGAGCAATCAGACGGATGAAAGAAAGTAAAGGGATACACATAGGAAAATAACAACACAAACTATCACTATTTGCTGACGACTTAATTCTATATTTAGAAGATTCAAAAAATTCCACCAGAAAACTTCTAGAACTAATAAATGAATTCAGCAAAGTAGCAGGATATAAAATCAATACCCATAAATTAAATGAATTTCTATACATAAACAATGAATCCACTGCAAGAGAAATTAGGAAAACTACCCCATTCATAATAGCCTCAAAAAAACCAAAATAGTCAGGAATCAATCTAACAAGAGGTGAAAGACCTCTACAATGAAAACTACAAAACACTAAAGAAAGAAATTGAAGATCTTAGAAAATGAAAAGATCTCCCATGCTCTTGGATGGGCAAAATTAATATAGTCAAAATGGCCATACTACCAAAACTGTCTTACAGATTTAATGCAATTCCTACTAAAATCCCAAAGACATTCTTCATAGAACTAGGAAAAGCAATCATGAAATTCATTTGGAAAAATAAGAAACCCAGAATAGCCAAAGCAAGCCAAAGCAAAAAGATTGAAGCATCACAATACCAGACGTTAAACTATACTTCACAGCAATAGTAACCAAAACGGCATGGTATTGGTACCAAAGTCAACATGTAGACCAATGGTACAAAATAGAAGACACAGACACAAACCCACATAAATATGGTTACCTCATACTAGATAAAGGTGCCAAAAACATACATTGGAGAAAAGATAGCCTATTCAACAAATGGTGTTGGAAAACTGGAAACCCATATGTAGCAAAATGAAATGAAATCTCTCTTATCCTGCACAAAAATCAACTCAAAGTGAATGAAAGACTTAGATACTAGAACAGAGACCCGGTGCCTAATAGGAAAAAAAGGTAGGCTCAATTCTTCATCGTGTTGGCTTAGGACCTGACTTCGTTAACAAGACCCCTAAAGTGCAAGAAGTAAAATCAAGAATCAATAAATGGGATGGATTCAAACTAAAAAGCTTCTTCTCAGCAAAGGAAATAATCAATGATATGATGAGAGTGCCTGAAGAATGGGAAAAAAAATCTTTACCACACTCACCTCAGAACACTAATCTCCAGGATATATAAAGAACTCAAAAGACTTAACACACACACAAAAAAAACCAACAAAAAATAAACCAATCAATAAATGGGCTAAGGAACACACTTCACAGAAGAAGAAATACAATTGATCAACAAACATATGAAAAAATGTTCATCATCTCTAGCAATTAGAGAAATGCAAACCAGAACTACTTTAAGATTTCATCTCATTCCAGTCAGAATGACAATTATCAAGAATATACAAGCAATAATAAGTGTTGGCGAGGATATAGGGAAAAAGGCACACTCATACATTGCTGGTGAGACTGCAAATTGGTGCAATCATTCTGGAAAGCAACACCTTACAAAATTTGGAATGGATCCACCATTTGACCTAGCTGTCCCACTCCTTGGGGGGTTCATACCCAAAGGACTTAAAATCAGCATACTACAGTTATGCAGCCACATCAATGTTTATAGCAGCTTAATTCACAATAACTAAACTATGGAACTAACCTAGATGCCCTTCAACAGATGAATGGATAAAGAAAATGTGGCACATATACACAATGGAATATTACTCAGCCTTAAAGAAGAATGAAATTGTGGCATTTGCAAGGAAATGGAACTAGAGAAGATCAAGATAAGGAAATAAGCCAATCCCAAAAAACCAAAAGCCAAATGTTTTCTCTGATAAGGGGATGCTGATCCATAGTGGGGTGGGGGGTAGGGAAGAATGAAGGAACTTTGATTTTTGTAGAGGGCAATGAGGGGATGGATGGGGCTGTGGAGATGGGAAGGACAGTAGAATGAGATGGACATTATTATCCTATATTGCCGCAGTCTGGCTGGGCACAAAATCACGAGCCACTCAAGCAGGAACAAAGTTTATTTTTTGAAACTGCTGCCAATGGCCGGTACCACCCAGGAAGATTTTTTCCACCCATGCGGCCTCCTCCCGGACCCGCAGAGAGAGCTCCTCCCCCGGAACTCCCTCCTACTGTACTTCCCCAACCAATGGGAACTCTCCAGGAGTCCCGTAGCCGGCCTAGGTGAACAGCAGGAGTCCAATATCCATATGAATGCAAATCTTAACATAATCATATCATCTCAATGGCTAGCTGGCGTCACCTTTCGACCAAAAATGCCATGCATCATATACTTGGCTCTTAGCATCTCCCCCCTTCTGTTTAAGTAACAAGCAATCTGGCTAGGGACGGTGCCTGTTAGGTTTGTCCAATTTAACATATGGTTCTTACCCGTCATCGGAAAACTGACTTTTAGGCGTCAGCCTCCTGTCTTAGGTTGATACCAGTGCAATTGGATCATACCCGTCACTGACTACCGGTCCAGCATATAGCCATACTTGTGGATAGGCCTATGTACCAGTGGGGGGGGTGAGGTTCTTTACCTCACCTCTGTTGGCCCCCAAAATTAGACCATCACTAGTAGAAGGGAGGAGGATACAGAAATGTCATGACACCAAGTCAATTAACGGCTCCTAGGAAAAATTGCATCACTGGTGACACATCAGCAAAGATACGCTAGCACTACCATAATTTGCTGCATCAACAAATAGATCACAAAGCATACAAGTGATACATAGTCCAGGCAAGTTATGTAAGCAGTTCAAAGCAGAGGAATCTATCAATATGTCCATATACATGTATGATTACACTACTGGAGTTACTGCACCATGTACAGCCATAGGAATGAGAAGTTCTGCTCCATTTGTGTATAATATGTTAAAGTGAATTCTACTGTCATGTATAACTAACTAGAAAAAAAAAGTACACAGAATTTTTTTATCCAACCAACAATCACTTATATTTGGCATATTTAGACCATTCACGTTTAATATAATTTTACAAGTATGTTTGTTGTTAAATTTTCCATGTTGCTGGATTTTCCAGCAACATATCCCATTGATTATTGCCTCTCTCTCTATTCTGCCTTGGTTTTGTTTTATTTTGGTGCTTTGCAGTACATATGTTTAACATTTCATAGCCTACCTCCAAGTAATATTATGCCACTTCATATATGGGGCAGGGATGTTGCTCTAGCAAGCAGGAGGCCCTGAACTTCCAAAACAAAACAAAACAACCCAAACAACAACAAAAACTTACAAAACAACATTGCATTCACTCCACTCTCACTTATGTCCTAGTATTGTCACATATTTTACTTCTCTGTCAAAAAACCTCATAATTCATTGTGATAATTTTTTAAAAATATAGCCAAATGTCTTAAAGAGATTTGAAAAAAATGTTCATATTTACTCATATATTTATCATTTCCAGTAGACTTCATTCTGTTGTGTAAACCTAAGTTGCCAAATGGTACCATTCCTTCAGCACAAGAAATTTGCTGTCCTTTTTCTCCCCTGTATGTAATGTTTCTTTTTTCTTCTCTGACTACATTTAAATATTTTTCTATTTATTAAGAGTTTAATACATTTGATTATAATGTCCCTTGGTATGGTTTTCTTCTTCTCCTTCTCCTCTCCTTCTTT